AGTTTTACATTCATCATCTTGGAGTCCCCCAACCACCATGTGAGGGAGGCAATGTGGAGACCGCTCCACCATTTAAGGAGGAAACCGAGGCTCACAGGGGGGCCATGACTGGCCCAGGTCCCACAGCTGGTCACTGCCTTCTGTTTCCTCCATGAGCCTACTCCTCGGATGAGTTTGGGTCACACACCAGTTGCTTGGTCCCGACCCAGAATTTCAGGGCTGGAAGGGGCTGGTGTTTAAAATCTCTCCTCCACATCCTACCAGTATCTGGAGATCTTTCACAGAGTTCTTCCTCTGGGAAGGGAGCAAGCACAGATAGAAGGGGCCCTGCCATGGCCCGGATGTCACCTGTCTCCGTCTTGCTCATCTCATCTCCAGGGACCTCCTCTCCCATTTTCTCCTTCTCTAGCATCACCTAACTTCCTTCAAGAATCTGGGACTCAGAAGCCACTGAATTGTGGTTAAAAAAAAAAAAAATCATGGCTAGTTTTTCAGAAACACACATTTCATTAAATTTCTAGAGGAGGGCATCCATCATTTTTAAAAATATATCATTTCAGGGGCACCTGGGTGGCTCGGTCGGTTGGGCGTCTGACTTCGGCTCAGGTCATGATCTCACAGTTCATGGGTTCGAGCCCCACATCAGGCTCTGTGCTGACAGCTCAGAGCCTGGAGCTTGCTTCGGATTCTGTGTCTCCCTCTCTCTCTGCTCCTCCCCTGTTCACACTCTGTGTCTCTCTCTCTCTTAAAAATAAATAAACATTAAAAAAAATTTTTAAATATATCTTTTCAGTTATTTTTAAAAACATAGTCTGAGTAATTAGACCCTGCAGCATATATTTCCATCCTGGACTAGAATCCAAATATGGACTAGATGGACCACGTTTCTGTTTTGTTTTGTTTTGTTTTGATTAAGCCACTTTGTTGAGATATGATTGACATACAAAAAGCTATATATATTTAACATATACAACTTGCTGAGTTCAGAGATAAGTATACATCTGTGAAGCTATCACCGCAATCTATGCCATAAACATAACCATCACCTCGAAAAATTTCCTTCTGCTCTCCTCACTTACTATGATTGTTATTTGTCACAAGAACACTTAACAAAAGATCTTCCCTCCTGGGGAATTTTTAAGTATACAGTACAATATTGAGATGGACTACAGTTTTAAACTCAGAATGAATCCTTTTCAGGTTATCTTATTCGCTTGACAGACCGGGAAACTGAGGCTCAGGTCAGAGAAGTGCTCTCCCCACTGAAATTTGGCTCTTTAGCGGAAGTGCCAGATCTCGACCTAGATCTTTGAGTCCTCATTCGAGGCCACCTCCATATGCTGCAGTCCCACTGTGGCCTGAGATCTGGCAACCTGGGGAAGGGACCAGGGGACCACTTCCTGAGCAGCCCCTAGCCCCAGACCAGCCCGCCTAGACCTGAGCCTCACGCTGCTTTGATGTTCCTACTCACACACATGTCTGGCTCAAATGGCTGTCCCTTTGGACTGCTGCAAGGGGCTGATTAGATGTAATTGCTTTGCCTAGAGCGAGCTATCTGCTTAATAGAATCAGCTCCCAGTAATTAGCCTGCCAAAGGCCCATTTCCCTTGCTGGAGTCCTAGGGCTTCCAGGCCCTTACTGCAACCTGTGAGCATCGGGCCTCTGCAGGCACATTTGGGATATAAGTCGGTGGGCCTTTGGTCGGGTTGGGGTGGCTGGGAGAAAGCAGAGCTGTGGAGGCTTAGCAAGGACTCTGGGTGCAGCCTTCCCTGGGGCTAGGGAGTTGCAGCCTTTCAAGGTCGGAGGGGCAAAGTGCCTGGCACAGAGGGACCGCTCCTTACATGTTGACCAGAGTCCGACTGAACCTCAAGGGGCAGGTCGTCCAGCCCCAAACCCAGTACATTCAGCAACCAAGTCGAAGGCATTTCTTGCAGACCTACTATGTGGCAGGCACTGTACTAGCTCCTTGGATCCTTCTAAAACAACCTCAACCCAAAGGACCAATCCGGCTATGCTTGCATACCTCCACTGCCCAGGAGCTCATTACCTCACGGGCAGCCCATTCCTTCTTCAGAGCCGTAGAGAAAGTTTGACCAGTTTTGAGCTGAAAGGTCTTCCACTGTGCCATCTCCCACCGCTCACTGGTCCCTCCTAGGCTACCCAGAGCAAGGCTAATCCCTCCTCCACGGGACGGCTCACATGTCCCCTGCATCTTTGCCCCAAGCTGAACATCCCAAGTGCTTCTGGTTGTGCCAGGTACATCATGCTGGTGAGGCCCCTCGTTAATCTCAGTAATCATTGATGGGTCTGAACCCTGCTTCTGTGGGTCGATTCCTGTCTCCCAGCACGGCCAGGAGCCCAGCAACAGGCACCACAGGGGCCAGGAGTCCTCTCCCAACAGAAAGAACTACAGCCCCAGCCAGAACAGGACACTACCCAAGGAGTGCCGCGGTGGTGACCCAGCCCGTCCACTGAGGGAAAGACACCCAAAGCCTGCTCACTGGAAGTAAAGTCACCTCTCTTGCTCTCCCCCTCCCCCCACCCCGACCTGGACACACACATGCGCACACACACTGCTGTGCACGCTCACGGGCGCCACTCAATACTAACTGGCTGATTAATCATTGCAAGTGCTATTATAATTATTGCGTTTGGTCCTGAGACAAGGCTGCCTCTGCTTGTTTCTCAGAAGCTATAAACCTGCAAAGAAGGATTTCAAGATTTGTGAGGATGCTGACTAGATCTTCAGACTCTCTTTTTTCCTTAGCAGCAACATGTTTGTCGGGAAATACAGGCCATGGCCAGTCCAGAACCTCTGTAGAGGACAGGCTCTCAGAGACTTAATTCTTGCTATGGGAAGGAAGCAAGTCTAGGGACTTACCCTGCAGCCAAAGGCTCGGAGGTCAGGAGAGCGGGGCTTGAGTCCCAGCTCTGGCCCACAGTCTGTGAGGCTTGGAGGTGCTCTCTCCCTGCGCTGGGCCTGTCTCCTTATCAGACTGCATGGTCTAAGGTTTCCTCTAGCTTGAACTATTCTGGAGCCATGGCCAAACACAGAGAGGATGTGAGTGGAGGGGAAAAGAAGGACCGGAAGATGGAAGAAGGGAAGACTAGGACCAAAGCCAAAAGTCTTATACTCACAGCCCACACACACAAGTCTTATACTCACCACACACACACACACACACACACACACACACGCCCCAGACTGGAGAGCAGTGGCTGGTTTTCTCCCAGACCTCTCTCATCACCTGCTGGCCTGTCCAAGACCCCCAGTATTGGGGGCTTTTCTCACTGCCCCTGACCCAAGTGTGGAAGAGAGGAAGGTGTTAAAGGGAGAAGGGAAAGGGAGAGAAGTGGGAAATTAGTAGAAAATAGGGAGGCATACAAATGGCAAAAACAAAAGTGAATCAGGAGCGCCTGGGTGGTTCAGTTGGTTATGTGTCCAACTCTTGATTTCGGCTCAGGTCATGATCTCACGGTCCATGAGTTCTAGCCCCACATAGGGCTCCAAGCTGACAACACAGAGCCTGCTTGGGATTCTTTCTCTCCCCTCCCCAACCCCCACTAAAGCTCATGCTCTCTCTCTCTCTCTCTCTCTCTCTCTCTCTCTCTCAAAATGAATAAATAAACTTTAAAATTTTTTTTTAAAAAGGGAAGTGAGGGCCAAGTAGGCAAACCTGTGCGTTGCTGGGGAGAGTAAACACCAAGACAGATGCACTGAGAACAGCCTGGCCGTGCTTAGGGACACTTGTGGGTATGCGTCCCAATGCAATTTCTCCACAGGTCCTCAAGGACACACGTGCCAGGAGGCTCATCTCAGTGTGGTATCCAGGACCAGAGATGGAGACCACCAAGGAAGCCCTCTCTAGGGGAAGGGATTCGCCAAACGTGGAGACTGTAGACTTTGGAGCAGGTTTTCTGCGAATGAACGAAGCAAGACTGACCCCCCACAGCCACTCCGGGAAGACCGGTTGGTTCCCACTCTCACTAATAGCACAGGCAAGTCTGTACGCAGAGCTGCTCACCCAGCTCATCTGGGGCAGGACTAAGACAGAGCCAGGTATCCACCCCCTAGCACAGCGCTCTCTCCCCAACGGCTCCCACAGCCTCTCCTTTGTGAACAGCTGCCTTTTGTGTTTGGTTTGGGCTTGAGATGTTAAATAAATAGTGTCTCTTGACAAATGCAAGCCGGCTGCACTGGGACTGGTTACGCTCTGTAAATCCAGACTAATCCTCTGTGTCTCTCCCTCAGGGATACACCAAGAAACACCTCAGTCGTACCCGAAGCGCCCTGAATCCGATCAACCGGCCCCCCGGCCATCAGAGGCCACGATTCCTGGTGCCGCTCTCCACCAACGGTGTCCCTGTCTGTGCTGCAGCTCCTGGGCCCACGTGGCCCCTCCCCGTTCTCAGGCCTCCATCTAGCTGGATCTTGAGATGGTTCTGGATACTCCTTCCTACAGCAAACCAGGGACCCTATTCCAAGGCCTTATCCCTGCTCTGCAGGAGCCTATAGTCCGGTCTAGACAAGATAGACCAGAATATCATGGGAGGCTCCGTTCCAGCTAGTAATGAATAGGGTCAGGATTTGAACCTTGTCTGAGTCAGGGTCAGCTTTTTTACTCCCTACCTCACCCCTTTCCCCCATCCTCCAGCCAAACTGGCCAAGGATGGGGGCCTGGTTCTGGAAAACAATGGACAGGGAGGGCCCTGGGCCCCTCATCCCTCATCCCACATTCTTGGCCATTGTAGGATGAGCAGTTGTTAATCATAGGGCCAAGTCTGTCATTAACATCACAAAATGTCAGAGGGAGGGGACTCTTTGAGATAAGCAACTCTTTCATTCTACAGAAAAGGAAACTGGGGCACAGAGAGGCGATGTGAGTCTCTCAAGTCCACCAGCTAGTTGGTAGTTGGTTGTAGCTGGGACCAAACTCCAGGTGTCTAGACTCGTCTTCAGTGCCCTCTCCACATGCTTCCTTGGGCCTTAGGACACTCACATGGGTCTTGCCTTCTCTCCTTAAGCCAGGCAGGGCTTGCTCCAACTTTAGAAGTGTCTGTTGGCAAAGAGTCACAGAAGCAAATTGCGTGGATTTTTCTCCCTCCAGACTCTGCTCTCCGTGCTCCTGTCCCCGCTGACACCGATCTCTAACCCCGCAGGTGTAGGAGGCTTTAAGGACTTCACCATGTACTGAATACACGACAAACATAAGAGCAACTCTGATGTGCAAAGCACCGAGCTCCCCACTGCGGCGAGGCGTGGCACAAGAAGGGACTCCACCCTGGAGAAGATAATGAGCCAGTGGGGAAGACAGATAATAAAGGACTGATCGATCTACTAGGTAAGAGGAACGTCTGCTGAATTGAAGCTTCGACAACGTGCTAGGGAAGCACAAAGGTGCTGGGGGTTCTGACTGGAGGTAACTGGGGAGTGCTTCACAGAGAGAGTGGCCCTTGAGTTGGGTCTTGAAGCCTGAACAGGAGTTCAATAGATAAAAAATGGAGGAGTCGAGGAAGTACCAACATCCCAGCTTATGGGAGCCACATGAGTCAGAAGTAAAGCATGAAAGTACTTAGATGTGTCTAGAGCTTAGAGAGGAATGGTGTGGAAGATAAAGCTGGAAAATAATATGTGTATAATGTTGAGTGCATAATAATACGCAGCAACGAATGATAGTTAAATTCTGTACCATTTATCCTACCTCTGATTGCGCCCTTTTCCTCACAAACTAAAGTCCTAAAAGCAGTGACTAAATCTTTTCACCTGATTCTTGGAATAACTAGCGAAGCAGAAGCGGGCCAGGAAGGTCATGGGATGTTATAAATGAAGGGAGCAGAGATATGTCCTGGTCCAAACCACTCCATTTATGGACATGCAAACCAAGGCCCAGGGAAAAAGAGTGACTGGCCCTGAGTCCCACGGGAAGCAGGTAGAAGAGACGGGACCCCAGCCCAGGCCCCCCAACTCTCTGCCCCATGTTCTCTACGCTGCATCAGATTCCAGAAAACAATCACACATGAGGCTGACCAGTATAATGATTGGAGGGATGTAAAATATCTCTTTCTAACCAGCCCAAGGCTTCCTCCACTGGAGTCACCAATGGAGTGGGAAAAAATAGAGCATGGAGAAGCCATCGCTGAGCAGATTTTGTCATTTATAAAAGACAGGATTGATAGAGATGCTTTCTGACATTTGGCCCTGGGCAGAAGGTGAGGCAGCCCCATCAGGGGTGGGGACATACAGGCAGGCCACATGAGTCCTGGACAGAGGGAGAGGTATAGGCTTCTAGATCTTTGGCACTATCCCACCTAGGTCAAGGGTGAGTTGATGGAACTCCTGTCTGCAGGACCCAGGTCCTTCTCAGAAATCTAGACTGGCACCAGCATCGCTCCCCACCAACCAGTCTCCCCTCCTGAAGAGTAGAAAGGGAAAAGGGGCAGGGGAGTGAGAACCGAGCTGCCCTCCTGGGCTCCAGGCACGCCAAGGATGTGTTGTGTTCCGCTGGCAGCAGGTGTCCTGATCCCATATATATGGGGGCTACAGGAGAGACCCCAGCCACAGGACATATGTCTTGGCCCCCTTTCACTCCCTGTGTGACCCTGAGCAACCCCCTTCCTATTCTCTGGGCCTCGGTTTCCTCATCTGTAACATGAGAGGATCAGGTTAGCTGATCTTTAAAGGTCCTTCCCGTTCTGAAGTGCTGTGAGAACAAGCTTCATCATAATTAATAATAAATGCCCTGCCCCTAAAGAGAGCTTTTTCCCTTTTCCAAAGCTCTTTCACTCATAATATCACCGTTCATCTGCCTAGCAGTCTGGCCTGGCAGCCAGAAGCAAGCAGACCCTGGACACACAGTCTTTCACACTGAAAACCGGGCCTCTTGAGCCTTGCTCATCTAGACTGGCTTTGGGGGAGCTGGCTTCTGGGGTAGTGTGGCCAGGAGGATGGAACCTAGCTTGCACCCTCACCCCTAGGAAGCCAGGAGAATCAGCTCTTGTCTTCTAGGGAGCCAGAAGATGCCAAGGGGGAAGGCCTGAAATGGGCTGAGTAAACGACCAAGGGTGTGGGCCCAGGAAGTTTGTGTCAGATCAATGACTCTGGTATAATTACCTATCCCATTTACAGGTGAAAAAAACCTGAGGGTCCAGGAGTCATTATGGAGAAGAGAATGGGTTTGGAAGGCAGACTGAAGACCCTTCCTGCCGAGCAACCTCGGACAATTCTCTGCACTGCCTGTTGCCTCAGTTTCTCTATCTATAAAATGGACATAACCATACCCACCTTTCAGGATGGTGGTAAGACTAGAGCTAATAAATGTAACATGCCTAGCCTGACACACAGCAGATGCTTGATACATACTCTTTGGATGAGTGGTTGAAAGAAGCAGTGGGTTGGTGGTCTCCCTCAGAGAAGCATTAAAAGGCTCAACAGTGACAGGTCAGGCCCCGGATGTGGGCAGATGGCGCTCCTGCTTCTGGATGGCTGCCTCCTCAACCTACCCTCAGTCAGGGGCCTGGGGCCTCTTCCATCCTGTCTCTCCTCGTGGCCCGTGCCAGGGTCCCGTGAAAGACTCTCTGACCCTCCTTGGCAATGGGATTTGCATTCCAATCATTCTGCTCACTCAGCCCATCCAAGTCTGGAGTTGTTTGAAGCTAAGTAAGGCCTGCGGGATCATCTGCCACGGCACCTCATCGAGGAGATAAGGAAGTGAGACTCTGAGAGGGGCAGTGACGCCTCATCTGAGGTCCCACAGCCTGCGCCTCCTCACCACCACTGCCACCATGTTGACAGAAGAAGAAACTGAGGCATAGGGAGGCCTCCTGGTCTTCAGCAAGCCTGGTCTGGGCTCCAGCTGCCCTATTCTGTTCGGTTGGGATGCCTGATGTTGATGTCCAGTGCTCTCTCTGGCAGCCCATCCCAAGCCCAGGCTGGCCCACTGGTGCAGGACAGGGGCTATGGATGTCTGGACAGCCGGATAACCGCGGTGGGGGGGGGGGGGGGGGGGGCAGCAGAGGAGGAGAGCCTGGGATTGAGTGCTACTGGCCTAGCCTCCCAGCCTGTGCTTTCTCAGCCAGTTCCAGGAGCCATGCTGACCTGGGAAGGGTCACATTTCATGAGAGCAGGGCTTTCCCTTGGGTGTTGGCCCACCGTGCCCAGGTCCACAGCTGCGCCCTGCTGTTTCTAAGACAGCGGTGGTCCGGTGCAGGGTGGGGGGTGTGGCCTGGGCGGAGGGAAGCTTGGCTGAGTCCCAGTGCTGGCACTAATTCACTGTGTGCCCTTGCTTGTCACTCGACCTCTCTGCGCCTCAGTTTCCTCACCGACATAATAAAGGGCAGGACAGCGAGGCCCAAGGTCCCTTCCAGTTAAAGCATGCTGTGATTTCGGTGGAGGCTGGGGGGTGGGGGTCGCTCTGCCCGTTCCTTTTCCCTTCCTTGCTCTTCTTTTTCCGTCATCAATTTATCTCCAGCTACCCAGGTCTCCCTGTCTCTGTCGCTCTTTCTGTTTCCATCTTTCGCTCTCTGCCTCTCTCGCTCTGTATTTTTCTGCCTACCGCTTCTTTTACTGTGTCTGTGAGTCTACCTCTGGTTTTATCTCCCTATCTGTCACACCCCCCTCTGCCTCTTTTTCCTCTCTTTCTCTGTAGTTAGAGCCGTTTCTCTCTGTGTCTAGTTATCTCTTTCCCTGGGTCTCTCTCCCTCGGTCCTGCCCGGTCTCTCCGCGGCTCTCCCGTTCGCTCCCCCACCCCTCCCCCTCCGCCAGCCCCCCTCCTCCCTCCCTCGGCGCGTCTCCCCAGTCCTTATTTGGCTGGGCGGGAGGGCTGGCGGGAGGAGGCGGCCTGCGGGCGGGGGGCGGGGGGCGGGAGCGGGGCCGGGCGGAGGAGGGCGGTGGGTGGTGCTGAAGGGACAGCTCCGCGGCGGCAGCGGCGGCGGCGTTGGCGGCGGCGGCCCCGGGGCGCGGAGCGGGTGCCCT